ACGCGGCCAGGAAAACTGCTGGCGTGGTCCGAGCAAACAGCCCGGCTCTGCCGGAGCCTTGGAGTGGGTCTGCCCCAGGGTGCCGGTTTAGGGAGGGATCGTGCGTTGACACCGGGGATGGATTTTGCCCTGGGTGAGAGGGGTGCAAGCGTGACGCATCCCCTGTGGTCCCTCAACTGAGAGTGGGATGTGCCCTGTGATGAGCTTCCCAGCTGTAGCAACGCAGGGTATTATTGTTGGGTCCCACCCCGAGCTCAGCGCTCAGTTTTTCCTCTGCTCTTCCTCAGATAATTTCTATTTAAGTTTCTAGGACTCCAGGCTGGGGAACATTTGAGCAAGAGCCCAGAATTTGGTCCATTACCTCCAAATGTCGCTCGGCAGCTCCCTGGGCTTAAAACAGGCCTGGCGAGGAGTGGCGACACGAGGGAGATGGCTTACGAAAACCATGATGCACCTCGGAAAAGGCACTTTATTCTGTTTACTTCTGCCGTACTGGAGTATACAGTGGAAAACCGCGCTGGCTCCGGTTCTCCGCTCTCCTCTCCGGTTTCCCGCTGCCCAGGTGAGCGCCTGCCGTCCCTCCCCGCCGAGGGCATCCTACCTGTTGTGCAACCCCCCCGGGGCTCGGTGCAATCTGCTTTATGAAACACACTGCAAGCACGCAGAGAAAGAGCGAGGCGGGTTTTTTCCAAGTGGGTGGGGACTCCTTAAATTCCCCTGGCATTGGCCACAGATTTTTTTTCCAAGCCTCTGCTCCAGTGTCTCAGCCCGCCTAGCCCTGGGGGATTTGGGCAGCTTCATCCCCAGCCTGACTCAGCGCGAGCCGCTCCTCATCCTCCCTCGTGTGCCGAGAGCTGTGGCAAACACCCCCGTGGTGGTCGGTGCTGCCCATGGAGGAGCCATCGATGGCTCGGTGGGGACTGGTGCCACCAGGTCCCCTCCAGCACTGTGGCCACCGTTGGGTGGCCCAAAAGAGCACCAGAAGTCAGTGTTCCCCAGGGATGCTCAGGCGTTTCGCCTGCCCCCACTTGTCTATGCGGTGCCCCCCTCCCCTGCCCAAAGCCACCTGGAGATTTGGGGCTCCCGGGTGGGCCGGACCAGCAGCCCCCATATCCCCAGGGTCCTCCTGCATCCGCGGGATGCCAGCTCCCAGGGAGGAGGAGGAGAGCTGGGAGGAGGTGGCCGGCAGTGCTCCGGGAGGGTCTGGACCCCCAGGTGGTCTCGTGCCCCCATGCCTGAGCCCTTCACACCCAGTACTGGTTGTTTTTCAAGGGGGGGTTGGAAGTCCGGCAGTACTGGAGGAGCTCGGGGTCTGGCGGTGCTCCGGGACCCGTGCCCTGGGGCGGGGGACCTGTACCCTTGCCCTCCAGGGCATTGACAGTCGTTAGGGGGATGCCTTGGTTGGGGTCCGTCCTCCGGAAGGTCTCCTGGTCTGGCACGGCCCCGTTCTTGGCCTTGGAGGAGGGGGTGCCCTGGACATGGTGCTTCCCCGTCTTGTTACGCTTGTGCAGGTAGAAGAGCAGGGGCAGGATGAGGGCCAGCAGGAGGAATATGAGGCAGATGGGGATGATGATGCTGAACATGTTGGCCTCGATGAAGCTGAGGAAGGTGCCTCCCTCCACGGGGCTGGAGCTGG